AATATAAAAATAAAGGATAAAGATCACCACAAACATTTCAAACTGCTGCAAGTTCTTCCTCAAGTGCAAAACTGAATTACTGATGGGACAGAGCGAACCATTAAAGGAAATTCGAGAAACAATTAGGTGTTACATGAGACGTGTGTTCGTCTAGTTGACATACTGTGACCTTAAAGTTCAGAGTCCATCAACGCCTGCCAGGCCGGCAACAGAACTAACTCATCCTTAAATTTGATGCAGTTGTCATTGAGGGATGATTTGTAAATTTGAATGGTCTCAAACCACTTAAGGTGTTCATTGTGTGACATAGTGTGTACAAGTTTCACCTGGTGGAATGCCGCCATAATGTCCTGTATTCTGACTTCTACAGAGCGTTTTGTGGATCTGATGTAAACAAGGTCCCTATCAAACCTGTTGTCCTTAATAGGAATACTATATACACCAGGGAGTCTGTTCTGGTTGGTGGGGTCTTTTCCTTTGCGAAGGATGACAAAGATGGTAGGACATCTGTATGCGATCTGTATACCTCTTTTCTTGGTGATCTCGGTATAGAGTGTTTTTAGGTACAGATTGTACGTGATAGGGACCTGTTGTACAGTACCTCGTGGAGAGGGCTAGGGACCTGTTGTACCATGTCAGGGGGATTGTTGTTCTGGTGGTCGGTCGTGATGGTGCATTGCGAGTGTGTGAAGTGAAAGCGATCTATCAATTTATGCGCAAGTCTCAGAAACCCATGGGAAGAGGCAAGATGGTGAATATGTAAAAGTTCCGCGGCAAGAGCTTGTGTAGTAGATGAATGCAAAAAGGCCCTCTTAATTAAAGCATTGTATGCTGCAATCTTATAGGGAAAAAAGTCTTTGACATCCTTCGCAATGGAAAAGATCCCCCAATCAGAACAGACTCCCTGACATATATAGTATTCCCATTAGGGACAACAGGTTTGATAGGGATCTCGTTTACATCAGATCCACAAAACGCTCCTTAGAAGTCAGAATACAGGAACACATAGCAAACACACATCATCAGAGAAGTGCTTCCACCCTCACCATGTATGCCGCTGACCTAGACATTATAGCGGCCTTCCACCAGGTGAAACTTGTACACACTATGTCACACAACGAACACCTTAAGTGGCTTGAGACCATTCAAATTTACAAATCGTTCCTCAATGACAACTGCATCAATTTTAAGAATGAGTTAGTTCTGTCGCCAGCCTGGCAGGCATTGATGGACTCTGAACTTAAGGTCACAATATGTCAACTAGATGAACACGCATGTGTCTCATGTAACACCTTTTAATTGTTTCTCGAATTTCCTTTAACGGTTCGCTCTTTCCCACAGAGAGAAAGAACTCACAGCAGTTCTAAAACATTTATGGTGATCTTTATCCTTTATTTTTATATCACACCAGTTATAGGTTCTTAGAGTACAGTATTTAACACATCCCAGTGTTTTGCAGTGTAGTGTAGTATAATTTAAGTTTTTTATTAAACACTATTTCTTACAATTAAAAAAAATTATTAAAATCTTTATGATATATTAAAAAGTTTGATTTCTAAAATATAAATGAACTAAAACCAACAATTCCTGAGTTTAACAACAACAACAGAGTCATTAAAATTTATCAGTGTGATATTTTATAATAAAAATTGATTGATTAATACATTATTGAGAATTTTAAAGTATAATTTCATATCTTCAAACCATAACTTTTACTGACAAACTATTGCCAAAATATAATCCAAACTGATTCATATAAATTAAGGAAATAAACAGATAATTTAAGCATCAAAGCTCATTTTCTATAATGCCAGTTCATATCCACAGAACATATTGCAATTGACACTTTGTTATCTGCGATTCAACTTATTACATAAAGGCTTCTGATATTTACATATTTATGAATATATGAAAATGATATCTATGTCAATTATAATTTTATGTATCTATTACATTACATATTTACATTCAATTATTCTTTTCAGGTAATGATTTATTTAAAACAGAACTATATATATTTTAAAATTTAAATGGTTTCTCACATTAAAGATATTTTTAGAATAGAATAAAATAATTCTTTTCCCAAAAAAAGATGAAATTACAAAATATAGAACTATGAGAAAAATATCACTATAAATCACTACCTATAATGATGATACTTTTCATAGACCACTATTTAACATAATTCTAAAATGTAAAATGATATTATAGCAATAAAATACTATAATTCTCAAAGCAAACATTATTCATGGCCCATATAAAATATGGCCAAGGTTATGGTTTAACTAAGCTTAAGTAAATTGTAACCTAATTGTAAAATCAATATGTAATATTTGACTAACCTTGTAAAATTGAAGTTCCAATTTCTACATCTTCAGGAACATTATGAGCTTGATAATCAGGTAATTCAAATCTTGGTGGATTATCATTTACATCAGTTACTTTTATTGTCAGCTAATAAAATAAAAATTATAAATTATATCAAACTGACTTATAACAAAATCAGAAATTATTAAAGTTAATTTTATACATCACCAATTATTAAAGTTAATTTTATATTTATTTTGTTTCTTTGAAAATATTATGTAATACCAAAATACTAAAATTTTAATTTTGTTTGGCAATTATAAACAGAATTATAATCAAACATCAATTATAATAAAGAATCTGCTTTATTGGAACTTTTATTAAATCAACATGCATACAAAGGGCCCAATTTAAGAAATCATAGTGTCACACTTTCCTGTTGTCAATATAATTGAGATTCTAGATCTTGTATCCTGTTAAATTAAATGTCTCCTGAAATAATTCCATTGTAAATTTTAAATTACCAAGGATAAAACTTATAGAATGTGTGTCCTGTATTTTATGCAACTGTATATTAGTCAACTCTACATCAGCATACAAGAAGAAAAATATGGACTTAGGAATTTTTCATTTTGACAGTGCAATGAAGTTTACATTCTGTTGTTTTAATAAATGAAATAGCAAAGAAAATATGTTATACATATATTTTTCATACAATGATGCTTGTGAGTGTTGGAAATCATTACAATTACTATGGTCAGCCAGTGTCTATTACAAAAATATCTGCATTTTCATCAGAAATTTCTTATAAAAAAACCATCCAATAAACAAAGCATTAATTATAAATATACCGCACTAACCTTATAATGCTATTTTATAAGTTATTTGGAACGTAACAATGTTTCTTGCAGTATACTACGAAACTGTCCTTAAGATTCAGATATACACAGTAACAAGTATTTGATATCCCTCAGATTTTTATATATACTGTCTATATTACAGGTGCTCCCTTATTTACAAACAGGTTGAGTTCCTGACATTTTGTCACAAGTCAAAAACTAAACTAGGAAGTACTGTACATTTGTACACAGAATAACCACTTAGTGTTTGATTCACCAATATACCTAATAGAATACATTACGAATACATTTACCTGTCTACTACTGCTTAGTAAGTGTTTCAAATGCAGTTTTTTTCTACCTAATGTACTTGGTTTTATAATGTCCAGCTTAGTTTCCATGGTAATAAAACAAAACTTCCTTCTCCAATGATAGATTTGCTATTATAGTATGTTTTGGATGCATTTTTGGAGCACTAATCATAAAAGTTTATAAAAATTGCAAAGAACTGCAAAAAAATGTTACCAACTTCAACACCACCTCACAAATGGCAATGGAACCTCAGAATTCACATAAAAAGAAAAATAACAATATGCAATAAGCCTACATTAATAATTTATTATTTATTACAAGGCAAAAACTGATTTCAATGCCACTACACAAACACCAAAAGAACTTCACAATCCATGCAAAATTTAAATTTTAGACTTAGTCAAATTGTTCGTAAGTTTGAAGGTTCATAAAGGAGCACCTGTATATTATTAGAGTAATAAATTTGATCTTTTTTATCAATAAGTAGCCTAAGTGATTTCACGGAATAAGTGAGTTCTTGAAATGTACAGAATTATTGCAAATATAAAAAAGTGTTAAAGTGTAGAACTTAAATGTTTTGTGATCAAGAAATAACTAAGTTAGTACAATGTCCATCAAAAGCTATGAATTTTTTTAATTTGGGCCTTCGTGTACTTTTTAATCCTAGCCTTTGAATTTTACAACTCATTTTCAGGGATAAAACATTAAATTCTTATAAAAATTAAAATTTAAGCTTTTAAAAATAGCCTAAAATAATCAAATTTAGAAACGGCCTTTAAAAAAAAGTTTTAAAGCAGACAATAATATAGATCACCTCCTAGCAGTATAAAGAAAATACAGTATTAAATATTTATAAAATTTAATTTTTCAAAATTCATTCAGGCAACTTCCAAATTTTTCTTTTACATTAAAAACTATAAATTTGATGTTGATGAATGAATCTCAAACACTGTAGTAGAGATAAAGAATTATCAAACTACTACTGAGGACATCAAAATGACACTTCTATCAGTAGAATGTGATTTTATTACTGGTATGCATTTCAGTCCAAAAAACTCATCAGTCATCATAACAAGAATGGTTAATTAATATTTTAATTGATATTCTATTAAAGCATAAAAATTATTTAATAGACAGACAGTATTACTAACATTAAAGAATACTAGATGTAGAAGAACACAGAATAAATAATAATGAAGGCAGAACAATATGTAAATCCTGGTAATGTAATCATAATCACATATTACTACTGAGTAAGTATTGTTTGTGCCTGCCTGGAGCTAATTTACTATAAAATATTGAAACCATTGCAAATGAAAAAGTTAACCAGTATTATATAATAAAAATTTTTTAACTAAAATTAATTTTATACTATTTTAGCTCTGATTATAATAAATTCTTAATGTGCATTGCATTTTGGTGTAGATCTAAAACAGGTCAGTTTGTAAACTGGTATTAATTGATTTTATTATGTAGCTAAAATGAGTTTTAAAACTGATTTTAAAACTATTTTAGGTCTGTTTATTATAAAAATTCTAATTGATGAGCATTGCCCTTTGGTGTAGATCTATAACAGTTTCAAAAATTTGAAATGGAATTTTAAACCTTTTATGTTACTTTATTTGTATATAATATAAAAATGTTTGCAATTGTTGTAGATAACTATATATTCATGTAAAGCTGATGAGGGTCTTTTGGACCGAAATGCATGCCATCAATAAAGTTGCATTTTATTGATAGAAGTGTCATTTTGATATCCTCAGTAGCAGTTTGATAACTCCTTGTTATATCTCTCAAATACGTGGTATTCATTCATCAACAGTCATTGAGACAAGAAACTCTTATAGCACAAATATCACATAAAAAAAAACATTGAAAGTTGACTGAATGAATTTTGAACAATTAAATTTTATAAATATTTGAATAATTATTTAAACTAATAAAAGTGATGTGTTTAAATGTAAACTTGTTTAAAAGGCACTGTTTTTAAAGTTTTATTCATTTGATATAAAAATTTAAAAAATTATTAAAGTTTGAATCTGTTTTAAAATTTGATGTTCTTACACCCAAAGATAAATGTTAAAATTGAAAAATGTAAGGATTGAATAGTAAATATTTATTTATTAGAAACTTCAATCTTGTAGAATTTGGTTCATTCATAAAAATATTTTGGAGTTTGAATTGTGAAAATACAGAATATTTATTGGAGCAGAAAAAAAAATGAATTTAAAATTTACTGATTAAGATTGTAACTGATTTAAAATTTTCTAGGCTGCTTACACCTATATAATAAACTATTTGAATAATTCAATTGAGTTAATTGTATTTTTTATATCAATAGAAACAAATCAGTCAGATCTTATCTAAAAATGAGGCCTAACTAATCAAGTAGTAATAAGAATTTCCAAATTTCTAAATATAGAATGATTTAATTTGTTTCTATTGATATAAAATACAATTAATTCAATTGAATTAATCAAATATTTTATTATAAATTTGAANTTAATTATTTAAAAATTTCGCGGCACCCTTGTGGCGTTCTTGCGGCACCCTAAGGTGCCGCGGCACCCGCTTTGAGAACCACTGGACTATCCCCTGAAAATTCGTGGAATTTTTCGACTCATCCAGATTCCCAGAGCGATAGGCTACCACCTTAACCGCTCCGATATCTGGCCGTCAAATTAACGAAAAGATTGAAAGCTCCGAAGTAAAATTAAAATAGTAGGCTACTCCACATATGTTTAAAGAAGGCATCTTTACAGCTAATCTTTTATAGCTAAAGATAGTTTAATGCCTTTGATGCAATTTGATAGGCGATTTTATTTTATAACTTTTAATTTAAAAAATTAAATTTAAAATTTTTGGATACATACATAATATGAATAATCCAGTTCTAAAACTAATTATTTCCAAAAATATGCGAACACTTATTTATTTTTATTTTGCATTAAATGCAAGTTTATATAATACCCAATTTTATAATCAGTCTGTATGAAATTAAATGTATCTCCATTTAAAATTTTATCAAATGGGCATTATCTCTTTCAGGACTTAATTTCATATAGTGTAGGGACGATTCAAACTTTAAAAGAAAGATTATTGAAGAATTAAGAAAAAATATTATAACCGATTTTTTCCGTAATAAACATTTAATTTATCACAATAAATTATTGTAATAAAGTAAACATTATTGTAATTTATAGAAAACAGTTTTGCAAAAAGTATTCAAAGTTTTAGTTTTCAATATAAAAATTTTAAAATAGTTACTATAACACTATCATAATATCAAATTTATTCGATTAATTAATATTTAATTTTTAAATTTTTGAAAAACAGTTTTGCAAAAAGTATTCAAATTTCTAGTTTTCAATATAAAAATTTTAAAAAAAATTAAAATTGCAATCATAAATGAAAACACTGATAACTATGTACATATGCACACATAAAAATTACCATAATTTCCTGTAAACAACATATAGTGATATATATCCAATACAAAATTGCTAGACAGAAATTAAACCTTCACAAAAGCTGCACCAGCATACTCACACTTGCAAAGTAGCCATTGATTGAAACCATGGCACTTACTGATATGCAGTTTAAAAAAGGTATTGTCTCAAACAAAAAACATTCTATAATTTTCCTCATTTCTTTCATTTTATTTTCATTAGCAATTTATTATAGATTAATTATAAAAATAAACATCATAAAACAAATGAAATATTTGAGACAGAATTGCCTAAAGCACATAAATGTCAAGTGACAAAATTTTATCATCTTATTTAATTGTTTGATAAATAGACAATAATAATAACAGAAATGAAACATTATTATTATGTTGGGTTTTGTGAGTTATACTCGGTTCACACCGGTGGCTGTGTACTATGCCGGACCAAAGTCAAGGCATAGCAACCAAAACAAAACTGAAATTAAAGAAGTGTGTCAGTGTCTGTATTCAGGAATTTCCTAACAATGTGGCATGTATTCAATATAGTG